TCCTCACCTTCCAGAACGTAGACAGTAGAGCCATCATCGCCCTCCTGGATGACGCAGCAGCCCTGTGCCAGTGTGGTGGGATACATGCGGTCCATGATGGTGAGGATCTGACTGGCCTGCAGGAGCTTCATGAAATCTTCTGGATCAACTCTCGAGACCTGGGATGGGATTGAATCGAACATGTTGCTTTTCTAATTGACTGAAGCTTTACCTGAAGCATCCGGGCTCGAACTCACTCCTCGCTCTTGCTGTAGTTGGTGAGGGTGACTTGGCAGAGTTGATTTGGATCCAGCCCCGTGGGTTCGGCTGATATGGCCTGGCGTTTAGTGCGCTGGGGCTCATCTGGTAACGCTGCTCCGGCATCAATGAAATAAAATGCATGAGGGTGTCACGTTGCCGCAGCTCCTCAATCTTAGTCTGCAGGGCAACCTGGAAGTCACGGAGAGTTCCCATCAGCCCGTCACCACTGGAGGGTTATGCATCTATAAAAGCATTGAAATCCAATAAAGAATTCAGTCAAATGCAGCAAAACAAGCAACTTTACAGTGTTTGGGATGGAGGTTTGATGATGAGGGCAGAGTTATGAATAAATGAAACAGAAATACAGTGTAAAAAAAAAAAATAGCCAGTAGATACAGTGGAGTCCTCTTGAAAATGCTTTTATTTTGAATACAGTTTTTTCATTACAAATTATATTCTGTGAGTAACAGTTCAAATGTGAGGATTAATTTCAAAAATTAACATGAATTTTAGTGTCTGTTAGTATTTGGTTTCACATATTTCTTTTTAAGTTCATGATTAAATGAAACCAAACACCTAAAATACATTATTAATACATTAAATAGCCAGCAAAATACAGTGGGATTTTAAAATGCTTTATTTTTTAATCGTTTTTTTATTATTATTATTATTACATATTTTTAGAGCAACAATTCAAGTGTGAAGCTGAATTTGAAAAATTATTATTAAATTATGGAAATTATGAATTTCATAGTCTCCTAGTAGGCCTACTTGGTTTTACATATTTCGATTATGTCATTATGTTTCCTTGTTTTACATTTTCTGTTTTTTTTAAGGTCTTTGAATCCCACATAAATAAAACCACTGTATAAAAATAATTTAAAAAATAAAATTATATATATATATATATATATATAATATTCAGACGAACAAATAGCCTTCACAGAGAACCATATAGAGATTAAACAGAACATAAGTGAGTTAGACGTTATATATTTCTTTATATATTACGTTATATGTTTAGCACATTGTTTTCTAGCCTAAATAATAAGTTCTTTTCTGTATTAAATCATAAAGATACAGTATATGCAACAGTAAATGAAAAACAGGTAACAAAATAAGCTTATTAATATGATTATTATTATGGTCCTTGTAAAAATCACTTCACAGGTAGGCTAAGCTGTTTATAAAAACTCGTATCATAACATAACATATTTAGAACTCTGTGATTTAAGTTTTTAAGATTTTAGATTTTTTTATAAAAGAAAAAAGTTTCGATTAAAATGAAATTAAAGCATGTAATAAAAGATGTTCCGTTGTGTCGGACTTACCTGCAATAAAAAAGCACAGAGGACTGAACCGAATCGATCCAGCGCAGATGACCAGAGAGAGGCTCGGCTGTGTTTCAACACCTAGCGCGCTGCCTACTGTACACACTAACTAGACTGCATTTCTGGGCATCATATGCGCGTCCAAACGCAGCTTGCAACCTCATAACGAGTCTCGCTGTATAACATTTGTGATGGATGTGTGAAGATGCTGCAGGTGTGTTTCCCACTGTAGGTTTGATTCATTTGAACTGACCAGTGTTAAAGAAGTAAAATTATACACACTACTAATAAATATTATAACTACATTTTCGGTAACAGTGACACGAGCGACAGTGGCTCGGCCATATAACTTAGCTTTTCCAGTAACGAGCTACTTATATCGAAAAGAAGCAGTGTAACGTTACAAAAAGCTATTTTGAGTTTGCGCTCCTCTTAAATGTTTACTCGCTCTTGTATGAAGCATTCAAGTCCGATTCATTTGACTGAATCAATTCGTTCGAATGATTCATTTAAATTAAAGGGGTCATATGATGGATTCAGAAGCGCCAGATTGTCATAGCAAAATCAGAATTTACCCTTTTTTTTTTTTTTAGAAATAGCCTTTGTGCACAGCCAGCTTTGTACTCTTCTTGGTTCAAAAAACTGTTGTCCATAAAATGCATTGCACAAATTTCTTGAGACTTTAGTCTTTGCAACTTTACAGATCTTCTTTATGCACCAAGAGCTTGTAACACTCCAAAGAGAAAGGGAAACATGAAATCGCATCATATGACCCCTTTAAGCATTTCAGAAAATGTCTGAGCTTACTTCGCGGCATTTACAAAATATTATCATAAGACTCATTACAATAATTTAACAAAATAATATAATTTTTATTTACATTTTCATCACTGCTTGACATTTATGTTGTAAATCACTTTTTGCTACTACTTTTGCTACTGTATTTTTTTTATATAAATATAATTATCTTAAAAATATGATTTTACTTATGATAATCTAAACCAAGCGTACAATAATCACTAAACAGAACATTAACTATAAGAAAACATTGAACATTTATGTTGAATGCAGGATTCGTCGGATGTAAAGTAGATCGAATTTTGTCGAATGTTACTCTATGGAAATAAAGTTTACATTTTATAAAAACACGACGAAAATGCCGCTTTCAATCTGAAGCACGACAGCAAAACATGTCAACATGGCGGCTTGCATGAGTGAAAACGGTTCAGATAGAAAACTTGAATTGTATCCTTTTACTGCTGTTCCTAAATGTCAAAATAATTCATTACGACAGTGCTGAGCTCTGCTTTTGTATCGTAGGATTTATTCAAACTTTTCCAGCTCTTACCTGCTTGCACTGCGGGATTTGCTCAGAGACATACATGTGCAGCCAAGTAGCACAGTAGATCGGTCAATGAATCAGAAATAGAGGTACATGTATTTCATGTCCTATTCTCTTTACCTTTAACAAAATATCAGCTTTCTAAAGGTCCCTTTCCCATCCGAGAGAGAGGCAACTATCGCCCTGCAGTCTCTGTCTCCTGATCCTGAGCCCAGGAAAGGAGGAATCACTAAAAACCTGGATTTGTCAGGACAAACACTGTCTGTGTGAGTTACACCACATGAACGATCACCTAAAAAAACTAATTTAGATTTAGGTCGACACACTTTGCCACACTAGTCTAATTAAACCCCCCCCCAAAAAAAATACAATCGCATGTAACATTTACTAGATGTAATATTAATTCGCTAAAAAAAAGATATGCATGTGTTTTGTTGTTGAAATTAATGGAATATTTCTATTATACACAATAAAACTAATCTGATTTTTGCTCATGTCTTTTATAGGAGATGGACCGCAGATGAAGCCCGTATTCTTCGTGTTTCTGTAAGTTCATTCTTGGACCATTTGTCTCTAGTGATGGAAACTATGGATGCATTTGGACCGCCTGTTTCACAATGACACTCTGAGAGACAAATACAAGCATAAGAGGAGAAATGTCGATGCAGATGCTGTTTGCGGATGTCCAAGAGAAACATCATCTGCCATGTGTTCAAGTATGGACTGCGAGGACTCTGCTTTTGCTCTGTTTGAGAAGTGCAGCACTTCATAATGTCTTAAGTCAGTTGTTTTGAGTTGTGTTAAAGGAATAGTTTACCCAAAAATGAAAATGTACTGAAAAATTACTCACTCTCGGGCCGTCCAAGATGTAGACGAGTTTGTTTCTTTGTTGAAACAGATTTGGAGAAATGTAGTATTACATCACTTGCTCACCAATGGATCCTCTGCAGTGAATGGGTGCCGTCAGAATGAGAGTCCAAACAGCTGATAAAAACATCCCAATAATCCACACCACTCCAGTCCATCAGTTAACGAAATGTGAATGTGTTTGTAAGAACCTAATCCATAATTAAGATATCCATAATAATGTTCTCTCCAGTGAAAAAGTGGTTTCATCTGAATCATGAATGAAATATGCACAGATCAGTTTACAAGCAAATACAGTCCAAAACAGTTCAAGAAATACGTTGGTGAATTTTGATGTAAAGAGGACAACAGGGACAGTTAATTAGATTATTGTGATGTTTTTAAATCAGCTGTTTGGACTCTCATTCTGACGGCACCCATTCACTGCAGAGGATCCATAGGTGAGCAAGTGATGGAATGCTACATTTGAAAATTAAATCTGTTCTGATGAACAAACAAACTCATCTTGGAATGGTTTGAGGGCGAGTAATGTTTTAGGAAAATTTCATTTTTGGGTGAACTGTTCCTTTGAAGTTTATCAGTGCAACAGAAGCCAAAACACACAAGATCCAGTGTTTTGTCATTTGAATAAAGATTTATTAATGGAGCATTGTTGATGAAACAATACCGAGAGATGATTTAACAGTGTTCAAGGAAAGGTAATTGTCTTATAAAAGAGGGACAGATGTGTTTCTATTGGCAGACCTCACTAAGTTTTTGATCAAAATCATCTACAATACTGGTTGATAGAAATAAAGACATTAAAAAAATCACATGGATTCAAGGGTTGTCAGGACTCATTCTTCAATTTCAGCTTTCCTTCACATTTTGTGCCTTTATTTGACCTACATCATACCCATAATTTGGTCAATGAGATGAGCCCATTAGAAATGTCTACTATATGAACATAGAAACATAAAAATAAACTGTAAACCAAGTAATTAAACAGCATGAGGTCAAGACCGGAATTAATCATTAATCTTACATTCATACATTAAAACTGGGGAAACGCTTTCATTCGAAGCAAAAGGAATCGTGTTGCATGGTTAAAATGATTGCACTTAATACTTTGTGAGCTCTCAGATCCCCAAAACGTTCATTCGACACCACCAGCCTTCCTGTACTGAAGAGTGTACCGTGTAGGTGGGCGTCCTTAGGCACAAACTTTGAATATTTCTTTCTAGCTTTGGCAGCTCTTAAATTCTGCTGAAGATTTGATATTGTGACATGTTAGGCTGTTTATTCTGAGTGTGTGTGTAGTTTTTAGATAAAGAATCGATGAAGTTTGGCAAAATAAAGGATTTCCAAGGAAGTATGACTGCTTCTACATCCTAAAAAAAAAGTAAAAGGCACAGACAGACATATAAGCAGGAGACGAGTCTGAAAGACTATAATCTGCATGGATGAAGGAATTAACAAAACAAGCAGCAAAAAGAAAAATCACTTGTAAATAATAGAAATAACTATCATGTTTCATCTCTTTCTCACAGAAATAATATCCTTAAAGGTAGTTATATTAAAAGTGATGCTGTAGCAGGGAGTTTCTTTAAATTCCTAACAGTTCTTTACATACAAGTTTGGAAAGAAAGTGTTTTCTTCTGAATGCTGGATGTTTTGCACATTGGGATCGGTCTGCCCCGCGCTGGCTCTCCTCTGCCCCTCTGGTCCCCTCTGTCTCCAAGCGTCCCATCTCAGCAGCTGCAGCCGTCACCAGAGGACACGGGTCTGTCATCTCTCAGTTTAATCTGGTCCGGGAAGTCGTACGTCTCCACCTCAGACTCCTGCGAGATGGGCGGACGTTAGTATCAGAGTGGAGGTGTTGTTATTGGACATGTCAAACGGCGCGTACCTGTTTGAGGGCGTTGCGAGCGATCGTTTGGAAAGCTTGGTCCACGTTGATGGCCTCTTTTGCACTGGTCTCAAAGTACGGGATATTGCTTTTGCTCTGACACCACGCCTGGGCTCGTTTCGTTGTCACCTGCACAAGGCGATCAATTGGTCAATACAGTAAATTGATATGTGGTTCATCCAATCAGATTTTAGAATCAATATTGTTAACAAAACAAAAAAAAAAAACGTAGGTTGAAATAAAAAAAGTTAAGATTTTTTTATTTCAGATAGTTACCAACGTAACGTCTCGTTTTCATTTAGTTTAACTTGATATACAAAACATAATTAAAACTGAAATAAAATTAATAAAAATATATAGATTGTTTCAATGGCAACAACATAAACAAACGTTACTGTGCATGCGCGCATTTGTGGCCCAAGTTTAACTTCCGGTAGACTTCCACAAAGAATCAATAACAACAGCAAAGTCCCTCTAGAGTAGATGATTACTGATAACAAGCAAAATATGTTTGCTGCATAAATCAGACGGGCTTATTGGTTTCCTTCAGAGATACAGTGATATAAAAACATCCGCGCTGTGTTTTGATTTTGAAATGTGCAGTGCTCATAGTCAAAGCCTTTTGGAAAATCTATTTGTGGTGGTCAGTTTTGATATTGTGGCGGGCCGCATGATAGTTTAAAAAAACTAATAACAAAATGACAAAAAATACACAAATTTAGTTACATTTTAAATTTAAAATAAAAAATAAGAGTGTAAAAAAACAACTTGACTAACGTTGTAAGTGGACTTTAGGAAAACAAAAAACAAAATAAATAAAAATGACAAAAACAACAAAAGTATTACAATTTTAAAATTAAAATGTAAAAGAAAACCTAAATATTAAATATAAATATTATAATAAAATGTTATAATATATAATAAAATAGAAACTATAATAGTATCTCAATCGCACTAACAATATTAAACAAAAATACTTAATATAATAATTTGTAGTATAAAGTATTTATAGGTGACTTAAGTAACATTTTAAGTGGACCTTAGGAGGAAAGAAACAATAAAATGACAAAAACACAATTTTAATTACTAAAACCTCAACTAAAATTAATATATACAAATATAATAATATAAAAATATAATAAAAAAACTAATTAAAATATTAATAAAAGCTATAATAGTATTTTAATAACACTAAAATAACACTAATCAATACTATTTTATAAAAACCAGTTTGACCACAACCATCTATCTATACAGTACCTCCAATAGGAGTGTGTTTACATGTACAACAATCATTATAAGACAGAACAGAAGACTGTGTTTAGATGAGTTGTAGAAATTAACTGAGGGTTTTCCTCTGAGAATTTGATGTCAAAATGTAAACATGAAATTCTATGAGGCTGAGTAAAGACAGACCTGTCTGTTCTCCAAGTCGATTTTGTTGCCGAGCACTACAAAGGGGAAGTTCTCCGGGTCTCGAGGGCTGGCCTGAATGAGGAACTCGTCCCTCCAGCTGTCCAGGGTTTTGAAGGTGTTCGGTGCGGTCACGTCATACACCAGCACGCAGCAGTCTGCTCCGCGGTAAAAAGCCACACCCAAAGACTGGAAACGCTCCTGTCCTGCCGTGTCCCAGATCTGAAACAGCCAGGAACATATTACAGTGCTGCATTGTTTGCATTTAAAGGGCTATATAATTAGAAATCATGTTCTTGATCTTTCGCAACAAAAAAAACAATTTGTTTAATTTTGAGGGTTGTCGGGAGGGTGAAAAATGGTCATGTAATAATACTACACACATGTATTATAAATACAAAAAATATGTTTCAGTGCAAAAAAACTCGTCTAACATTGTAAGTGGACCTCAGGTAAAAAAAAAAAAAAAA